TCTTATGCAGGATGTGTCATGGTTTTCTCTCTTTTTCAGTCAATGTTCATTCCTGGTGATGGCTCTGGAACCGAGTATACTATAAGATTCATTTTGAAGGAGACTGTGTGCCCCAAACTTGTGGATTATGGAAAGGAAGAATGTGACTTCAAGGAAAATGGGGTGAGCTCTAGCTGTGCTTCATTCTTCACTATAGCCAAAAATACTGTACCCCTGATATAATATGTTTTCTTTGTGCACCCTACAACTAACTTCTAAAATGGTATAATGTTAATTCCTGCTATTTAGTGAAATCAATTTGGGGAAACTAAACTGAAATCAATATGTTATTAGGCGCACAGTATTTATTATTTTGCTACTCTCTGGGTGATTTGCAAAGCAGGTCATTGATAACATCTTTGTTCTTTTGCAAAACACATCGCATTCAGTTCATCCAGATATCTACCAAGAGATAGTACAGCCCTTAAACACTTCTCAAGTCCTATAGCAGTAAACAACAGTGGGCATTTCCTCTTTCTCTTTTGCAGTCTTTAAAGAAGTGCACAGGTCTTGTCACGGTTGTGAGGGCTAAGCCAGGAGAAGCAAGCGCTGTAGTAGTGACCTGTGAAGAAGTTACAGACCCAGAAGAGCGCAAGGTAAATCCTTCAAAAAAGTAGCTTAAAAGCCATCTCTGGAGTAAATTATTTCAACTGTGAATGTTTTGACATTGAATAAGGTGTGCATATTTTTTGTTTTAAATATTATCTTCAACACAAATATGACATACCCTGATGCCTAGTGTATTTTAATCATGTACAGTATCACATTTTCTAAACATAAAAGGTATGATCAGAACAATTACACGCGATTGCCAGTATTCAACAAATTGAACCTTTACTGACAATCATGAAACACATGACAAGCAAGTACTAAAATCATCATTACACCTGGTAATATGTCCAGATATGAAAAATATTTGTCTTAATCTTGTTTTTAAACCCAGACCTGTCATACTTGGTGTTTTACTTGCTTTTACACTTAATGATTGAAATCCAGATTTTTCTCAGTATGTTTAATGCCTCCTGATTTGTTAGTAGTTTGATGTCTGTGAATCACTAAGACACTCTTCAATGAGATATTTATGTGAAAAAGGACTGTATTTAAGAAGAAAAGAAAGAAAGAAAGTGGCCTAAAAATATCAATATTTCAATTGTGCTTATATGTCATAATCATAGAATGCCTGAAAAACTAAACAAAAACAAATAATTAAAATGGCTTTTTTGTGCCAATACGTGTAATGTTTTTTTTAGTTTTTCTTGAATTATCAAAAAGTACGTAATGTCTTTTTATTACCTGCTATCTTTAATCTCTATTTTAGAAACTTGAAGAACCACCCAGCTGGTGGTATCTTTTTGGTGGATCATAAGAACATGTCAGGAATAGCAGTATTTTCCCAGAAGCTCACCTGCGGACTTTTGTGACCAAGATTTATGTTTATCATTGTACTGACCATTGTGGATGATTTGATTCAATAAAGCTCTTTTATTACATGCTTTCTGTTTGCTTTTGTGTGTTTTGAAGAACCACTGTGGTCGGCAACATTTTTATATAAGGTTTTCTATATTAATTCACTTCATTTAAGAGTCATTATATACAGTACAGTAGGAGCCTTTCCACAGATTATTTGGGGAAGCAGAATTCCTCTGGGCCTTCAAAGAGCAACAAAGGAAAATAAAGAGCAGAAGCCCTTTCTTATCCAGTTAAGTCATCTTTTCGTGAGGACCTACAGTATTGCACTAGATTAATTCTTTTATATATTTTTCAATAACCAAATAATAACCTATGACACAAAAAATAAACTTCAATTTCAGATCAGTTTAATTATTAAGAGAAATAATTATAACACGTGTAGCCATCTTGACAATGTTTTTACTTTACCCTATGATGGAAAATATTTGTTGGCACATACAGTACAGTAGAATCAGGAGATATTAGGATCATACAGGCACTGAACTCCAGGGTTCAGCTGTGTTATCTTTGAAGTTTTAACTGTCTGGGATAAAGTAAAGTCAGCATGTATTTAAAACCTGGTACCTAGCTGTGCTATGGGTTAAACATTTATCCTTAAATTAATATTTAACCTATTTAATTAGGGGCTTGCCACACTTATGAACTCTACATGAAAAATCTTCCAAACCATTTGATAGATCACTCTGAAAAATCTTTCTTCAGCACATCTGTCCAGGAGATTGTCTGCTTTTAGGTCACTTCAAAGAATTTTCATAGAAGTAAGCAGAAATTATCCCTAGGTTGTAATGTTCCTCAAAATTCTTGTCTAAACTCCAAATGAAGTTATCAGTGTTTAACTAATTCTTTGTATTAATTAATTTACTATAAACTAGAAAATTCGAGTAAAAAGAAAAACACTTAAAACCACAAAAACTTAAATGGAGTTTTTAATTAAAGTTCGGGAGGAATGAAAGCAGCCGAGCTCATTCGACACAGCTGCCGCAATTCCCACTAATCCTGACGTAAGCAACCGGTCACCATACATATCAAATGTCACCCTCTCCTCTTCCTTGTTCGTTTTCTGCATGGTTCGTTTTCGCCTAGCTCGAATCCATGCTCCCTTCTCATGGATCTGCAAATTCGCTGCTCCAATGAAGACCTTTTCTGCAGCACAGCAGACTCTCCTACCCCTCTTGTCCAGTCTTCCCCCCCCCCCGCTCCCCTCACCTCCGTCTCATCGCCTCCTTCACCCGCCTTGCCACATCAGCGCCGCTCATTTCCCAGCCAGTCCTCACAAGATTCAACTCCTCGCCGAAGACTGCGTTCTGCCGTCGTAGTCCCTCTCTCACCACAAACCCAGCCTTCCCGTCCCTCCACGGCAAAGTCTCCAAATAACCCCCGCTTCTCTCGAGGATGTCCCAGCCGCCGCGCTTCACGCACATCGGCTCCCCCTTCTCCTGGATCATCTCTTGCGATTTCCAACTGGACCGTAGCATGGAGTCCGTTTTAAAAGAAACGCTTCCAAAAAAGCCCTGTTTTCCCTGTACTTAACCGCAGTCTACACAAAGGAAACATCAGCCACACAGCTTCCCCCGGCGCCCTCCGATGACACCACCCGCGCCGCCGCCACTCATCCCAACGTGAGGACCCCGAGTCCGTCCGCGCCTCTGCCTGTCGCGTCTTCTGTCTTGTCTTGTCCTGATATATCTGTGTCTGTGTGTGTCTTCCCCAACCAATCCATTCCTCTGCTGAACAACAGCACCTAGCTTCTTCCGCCCAGCCTCTTTCCCTAAACTCCTTGCTGCCGGGTCTAAGGCCCCAGGCTCACGCCCCTCCCCAACCCCATTCTCTGCTTAATCTAATTTCTGCACTCTCTTCTGTCTCTACCTCCGGCGTCCAACACGGCTCAAGCTCCGCCAGCTTGGTGCCTTCGGCCCCGGTTTCTTTTCTTTCGGCCCCTGCTGCGGTCTCCACGGCCCAAAGGCCATCCAGTAAACGACCCCCAGCCCAGCCAGCAGGTGGCTCTTATCCTCCCCCACCCCCTGGCGTCCAAGACGACTCGGCAGCCTCCTCAGTCCTTCACGCAGCCTTTGCCCCTGCTTCAATTCCTCCTCAACAGCCTTCGGCATCCATATCCCAAGCATGAGCTTCAGGCCCCAGATCTGTCTAACCCTCCTACCACAATCTGCTTTCCTCTCTTCTTCCCTCCTCATCCTCTCCCATCCCCGGTGTCCAACACGGCATCAGTCATCACATGCCTTCGGCCCTGGATTCCAATCTCCCTTTAACTAAGGACTTTTCTCTCCGAACAGCTGTTCCTCTCCCAGCTCCTCCTAACGCACTAAAGTTTAGTCCTCCTCCCATTTCCTTTTCACTCCAGCAGCAAATCTACGAGGTGCAGACATCAATCTAGCTCACCTTCTCTCTTCCTCCACTTACAACTCCGATTCCAGAACAGTCGACTGCGGCTCGATTTCAGTTACTCTCAAATCTTCTGACCCTCACTCTGCTTCAGTCCTTCGAATTTCCGACTTCAGCTTGGCTTTCAGCATTTTTCGCGACATCATGTGCTCCGCCTTTCCTGAACGTCATCAGGAACTTGACGATTACATGCACATCATCCTCGATCTATTTGTCCGTTTCGAGGGCTCCCTGTTTTACGACTACCACAAGCAGTTCTCGGCCAAGGCCGCTGCCCGCCTAATCCAATGAAACCAGCGCACCTACTGGGGAGCTCTCGACATTGAGCTTTACTGCCGCACTTTCGCCGGCATCAGAGCTCTTTCCTGCGATTTCTGTTCCTCTTGGACACATCCATCAAATCTTTGTCCAAATACAGTCCACAAGCCCAACCCCGACTCTGCCCCTTCTCCCCCTCAGCATCAATTCTCCCGCCAGGTCTTCTTCAAACCTTCCCGGTCCAGAGACGTTCGCGATCGCCCCATCGTGATGATCAGAGGTCAACAAATTTGCAACAACTTCAATTCCTCAACATGCACCTCTTCCCTTTGTCGCTTCCTCCACATTTGCAGCTTCTGCGGCGAAGCTCACGCTCGCTCCGCCTGCCCCCGCCGGCCTTTCCATGCTCGCTCCACCTTCAGCGTTCCCAAATGACTACTGGCTTTTTTGTCTACCCCAATCGATATCCCCGCTCTTGCTTCCGAACTGCTCCGTCACCCCGACCCCTCTTCCACCCACAACTTACTCGACGGCCTTTCCTTCAGATTCTCACCAGGCCTGTGCACACTTCCTTCTTCCCCCGTCTTTTGCAAAAATTTGCAATCTGCCACCGCCGATCCCCAGTCCGTTGATTCCTTGTTAGCATCTGAAGTCGAGAATGGTTTCATGATCGGCCCACTTGACTCTCCCCCATTCCCCGTATACCGCATCAATCCCATCGGTATAGCGGTCCGTAAGTATTCCGGTAAAAAAAACGCCTTATAATCGACTTGTCAGCCCCCCATAACTCCCCCGTGGCAAGTGTAGCCTTATTCCCAGTTCAGACTTCTCCCTCCACTATGCCACAATCGACCATGCCATTTCTCTCATCACAATCGCAGGTCCGGGCGCCTGGCTCGCTAAGGCCGACATCTCCAGTGCCTTTAAAGTTATGCCTCTCGATCCAGACTTCTGGCACCTCTTTGGAGTTCATTGGCGGAACAAGTTTTTCTTTGCAGTCCGCCCTTACTTTCGGATGCAGGAGTAGCCCAAAAATTTTTGATACCTTAGCCGAAGCTCTCTGCTGGATCCTCTTAAATAACTATAGGCTTCCTTTTCTCGTCCACCTTCACGACGATTTCCTTACCATTTTCCTCACTCCCCACCCGCAAGAGCCTCTTCCACACTTACTTCCGTTTTCGGGAAACTAGGGGTACCTCTCGCCACAGACAAAACAACCAGTCCCTCTCATAAAATCCAATTCCTCGGGATCACCCTCAATTCCATCAATTTCTCTGCCTCCCTGCCTCGCGACAAGATCGACAGGATCCAGACGTATATCTCTACCTATTCTTCCGCCAAATCTTGCACAAAGAGGGAACTTCTCTCTCTGCACGGCTACCTCAATTACACCATGCGTATCATTCCCCAAGGACGGTCATTCATCTCCTACCTTCTCGACCTCGCCTCTTCCGTGTCCTCTTATCAGCACCACGTAAGCCTTTCAGCCAACTGCAAATCCGAGCTCAGGCTCTGGCAGCTTTTCTTGGCCAACTGGAATGGCATATCTCTCTTCTACGATGACCTCCTCTCCGATGCCGAGGATATCCAGCTTTTCACAGACGCAGCCCCCTCAGTCAGTTTTGGAGGCTATTACAAAGGCCAGTGGTTTGCGGCCCCTTGGCCTCCTGAACTCTCTTCGATCCCTCTCGCCGACCAGTCATCGGCCCTGTTCAAAATATTTCCAATTGTCGTTGCAGCTTCTCTTTGGGGCCACAATTGGAAACAAAAATCCGTCTTTATCCATTCGGACAACTATGCAGTAGTCCATATAATCAACAAAGGAAGGTCTTCATCCCGATCTATCATGAAATTTCATGAATGGATTTCTCTCACACATCAATTCGTCCTCGTAGCTGCTCACATTCCAGGTCACCTTAATGAGATAGCTGACTCTTTCTCTCGCTTTCAATTTCAGAAATTCAGGAACTGATGCAAGACCGAACCCATGCACGGTACCTCCCTATTCGGAACTCACGTTCCTCTGAATCATCCTTTCCATCACTACGTCCAGCTGGCCCAGCAAACTATCCTCTTAGGGATTGCCCCTCGAATCTCAACTCTTACTGGACTGCCTGGAAGGGCTTCCAATCCTTCCACCTCTCAACGAACATAAAATTCCCTTCTTTCGATATTCTCACTGTATCATCCTTCGTTTGCTATTGTAGAAACTCACTCAAGGTATGAGCATCCACCACCAAAGTATACCTGTGCGGCATCCACTTCTTCTATAAACTCCTTTCCGGCACGACCTGTCCCTCCCTTATCCACCCTCAAATTAGTCTCCTGCTTAAAGGCTTTCAGCGGCTTGAAAAACCACTTCCGAACCAACGCGCAGCACTTACTTCGGACATCCTTGAATCCTGCATCTACATTCTCAGGTCGGGTTACCACTCACCCTGGGTCGACCGCACTCTCGAATCTTTATTCTTGTTAGCCTTCTTCGGCTTCCTAAGATGCCCTGAAATTACCGCTGCTTCCACATCCTTTGATCCCTATTCTCAACCCTGTTTATCCGACATCTCCATCTTATCTTCCGATACACTGACCTTCTATCTCAAGAAAAGCAAAACCGACCAACTCGGGTCTGGCGCTCTCATCTATTATTTCAAACTCTGTTCATACGTAAGCCCGTACGAGCCTCTATCCCATTACGCACATCTTCGCACCGCTGCCGGAGCTTTGCCTACTGACCCTCTGACGAGAAGGACCGTATCGTGACCCGCAACTGGTTCCTCTCTCACCTCTACGACATCCTTCTAACCGCCGGATACCCCCCTGAACAATTCTCTGGGCACTCCTTCAGATCAGGGGCCGCGTCCTCTGCCGCTCGCCAAGGCATACTCAAGTATCTAATCAAGCAACTCGGCCGTTGGTCCTCCGAGGCTTATCATGCATACATCAAAACTAACCCCAGTACCCTCAAGCAGGCACTTTCTCTCCTCGGCTGAATTAGTTTAATAATCATTTGGTTTTTGTTTTTGTTTTGTTTTTTTCTGCACTGGTGACTGGGGGTCCCGCTTGGTTCTTTTGGGGGGTCCTATCCTCCCCGTCCAACGGCTGGGAGGTCGGCCCTCAGCCAAGTGGGTTACGCCAAATCTCCACATCTCAACAAATGATTTTAATTTCTCCCAAGCTTTCGGCTGCCGTCACTTCTCATGAACTAAAATTGTGGCTAGACATATTGTAATAAAGTGTCAAAAATTGAGGTCACCAGATGTGGGTGGCAGAGAACAATTTCATCTCTCTGACGCTCCACATGAGAATGCTAACAAGCAGAGATCACCTGCAGCTGGACTAGCCATTGAACTAGCCATTTCCATTGGAGTTTATGATGTCTTTGTGGGAAGTAAGAGATTCAGTGTGCATTTAGGCTGAAGTGAAAAAAAAGGGAGAAAGTGAGAACTCCATGGCTAGGAGTTCTTAGTAGAACCAGATTGTGCTGGGCATTAGGCCTGTTGGCTCACTAAACTTCAGGCAGCTTGAAGAAGATATACAGTATCAACGCTGTCCTGAGCTACACCTCAGATCCTGGACGGCCAAGTTGCGTGGGTAATTCCTTTACAAGGTTATGGATGTGTTGCTGCCATGATATAGGAGTTGCTTTCTGGACCAGAGGTGACATGAGATATCAGTGTTAGTTATATAAGAAAAAACTGTAATATGTTCAGCTATTGTTTGTTTGTTGTGAGCTTTTTTATAGATGAAGGGCTAACATTCCAAAATGTACTCTAATACAAAAGACACAGTTATTGTTGTAGCTTGCAACAAATACATCCTTAGTTCTCTTAGTATTCTAACTGGTATTGATTTCATTGTAGACATAAGTTTACAAACAGCTTGGCCTCTGGATGTATGGGAAGCTGTGCGAGTTTTGGGAACCCCTGAACAGAGCACACTGTACTCTTGCTCTGTGTACCTGAGGCCTCAGAGAGGGTGGTGAAACAGAGTGAGAAAGTGAGAAAATAGAGGGTGGTTGGGCCTGCCTGAAGGGAAGAACAGAGGGTCTGCAGCTGTGCCAGTGTTGGACACATCATCAGAAATTTCCAAATGTTCTTGTTTACAGTATATGACCTTCAATCAATTCACAACAGGCCTGGGAAAAAAGAACACATTTTAAATGGGTAATGTAAATAAGTTAGTGTAGCCTCCCCGGCAGTGGACTGGACCATCGTCCTTCGACCCCTTCCCAGCAGCAGTTCCCCTTTCCTTCCATAAGAGTTACAGTATATAAGAGGGGACCCCGAGGCATGGCATTAGCTCTCTTTTTCCCTCACGGGATTCTAGAGGTTACCTTGCAGCTGTGAGCTCTGTCTTCCATATCCCACATTCCCCCACCGCACTTCTATATACAAAAGGGCAATAAAGTCCTCTCCTTACTGCTGCAGCTCGCCTTCTGTCTGCTCACTCTCTCATCCTCACTCCGAGTCAACTGATTTGCCACATTAATATTAATTCAATCTGAAAATAACTAAGAATTTGTATCTCCTGAGAATAGCTCCAGCTATATGTATTATAACCTCTATCAAAACAACCTTATTGATGTTTAAGGTGCTTCACTATGTGCAAATCGTGTGATACTGTTTTGTAGATACCATGATTAACACCTGGCTAGAGTATACATCTGAAGTTCTCCGCAGCTTCAAAGTAAGAATCTCTGGTTTGTCTTGGTGTAGCAGGGTGGAAGAGCCAGACTTATAGTAACAAGGTTGAACCAGCAGGAGGTGGTGTTGCGGTTGTCCAGGGCAAACATTCCTAACACTCCAACAAGAGAATTTGGGAATTGGCCACACTTGGGGAAACCAGCTTCCCCTAAAAGCACTCAGGGAAGAGTCAGAGGTTGTCTGAAAAACCCTCACAGTCACACTTGGCAGTGAGTTCTAAAAGATATCTGGGTGAGATTCTGGAAAAACATTTTTCCCAACTGTATACCCAGTCTTTAGGTTGAGTGAAGTCTGTTGAAGACTCATTCAGTTTAGTAATAGCCCTGATCATTTCTGTGTTGACTTTTGACGGGGTGAGGATTTTCCACTGCTTCAAGGGTGGCTAAGGTGTAGGATGGTTTCCTGAACCATTTAACCGCCCTTATCCTTGAGTGGCATTTATGTAAAGATTCCCTGTGCTACCTATAAGGAGAAATCTGTTCCACTTTGTTAATTACTTAAGTTCTGGGTGAAGTGTCATCAACAATTCAGAAAAAATCATAAAAAAGACAGAAGGAGACAAAAAAAAAACCTTAATGGAGAGAGTATCACAGAGGACAAAGACAAAGAAGTGCCAGATGGGATCTTCTTGTCCAGATCATCTGAAACAACCAGGTTCTAGTTAAGTACTTGACTTGTTAAGAGAGCTTGTCATTCTGTTCTTTTTGGGAAACTGATTTTTGTATAGAGAATCCCTTGATTAAAAACAACTTATTCCTTGTTAGTGGGTGAATTTTTCAAATTCACTTTGTAGCATTGGGGTTTATATCGGGAGAGGTTTAACTGTAAGTCATATTCTGTTGGTTTAGAAGGCAGATTTATCTCTACTGTACATGTGTTATAGAGGATTTGAATACTTGGTAGCAGTCTAGGGTTTTTCTCGGTGGTCAGAATATAGGCCTCTGGAATGCCTTGTTTGGAAATAGAGTAATTTGGATGTTCTATTTGCTGTGTGTTGTTTAGTAGGTGTATTTTCATTATTAATAAATATTTGTTTAATGCAATGTGCCTTATGTATTACACTTTTCATCAAAGCTGTGTCAGAGAACCAAAAACACAGGTTCCTCTAATTATACTAACTGCTTGGGTATATTCTTGGCAAAAGCTTTACAATTTGAGGGTTATGATTTCTTAATTTACTTATCGGTTAACATGCACTG